ATAGTCAGTGGGTACAGCCCCAAAGAGAATGCTAGTGCACACTGGGTTTTGACATTTTATTCAACAGTTATTATTTATTAATATATTATTGGTCCCTGCTACAATAGCTATTGTTATTACTATTATTATCTGCTCTGCTCATTGTTACATTTCCAGTACAGAAATGAGGACTTGGCACATAAAAGGCAATAATAAGTATTTATTGAATGAATGGATGACTCAAGTTAAGAGATAGGAATTACCACCTAAAGAAGAGTAATTTTCACTTATTTTACTGTATAAAAACAGTACTCGATAATTAGCTATATTTATTTTCTTTTCAGACCCTTCTTTGCTAAAACTTTACTTTTCTTTTGTCTCTACCACTGAGAGTCAGTGAATAAGTTAGACACTCAGCTTCAAGTTAATTTCCTCCTATTTGTCGATGTCATCCATGTATATGCCTTTCAGCCAGTGTAATCTTTCCAAAAGTTCTTGTTGACTGTAAGAGCTTGAAAGCTTTTATCGTTGAAGGAAAGAGAAGACTGACATCCATTGTCTCTCAGTTGGTGACAGAAATGTGTGACACTGAACAAGGCCTTTATCCTCTGTTTATCCATCTGGAAAATGAGAACAACAACACTCACTAGTCTGGTATGGAAGTCATTGCCAAGGACTTTGTGATCCACACAGTGAAGGTGATATTTTAGTTGCTACATATTACAGATGTTTCCCTTTGATTAATTGGGTGTTCAGGTATTGGAGCACTTTCAGAGATGTTAAGCAAAGAAAAAGAAAAAAGAAAGAAAAAGCAGAGGTTGGCTTACAGATTTTAAATGTTTACATACTTCCTTAATGCTTTAACTTTACATTTGATAATCTCCAGAGATTAGATAATTTAGTACAGTGCTTTTTAACCAGGCTGTGCCCACACTCCCCTGTGGAAGCTTTAAGTCTACACATGCCTTGGGCCTACCTTATTTTCCCTTGATTAAGAACCAGGGTTCCAAACCAACCTCTTTTTTTATGAAATAGGACATTGAGGGACAGCTGGTAAATGTAATTATCAGGACTAAAATTTTCCTCTTCTGACTTCGATGGGTTTTTATTCACATATAATATGAGTTATCTAATCTGTTAATTTGTATATACACACATATATAATGTATATAATTATTATTATTTTTTAACTTGGGATTTGAACTCATGATCCTGAGATCAAGACCTGAGCTGAGATCAAGAGTCCAATGCTTAACCAACTGAGGCACCCAGGCGCCCCTGTACTGATATATATTAAGTTAACTTTCTAGGTACAACTTTGCAGTAACCCCTGGAAGTTTGATTATCTGTGTTACTTTACAGCTTATAGCTATTTTACCCCTATTTTTATCTATAAAGCCTTCTGAGATTCGCCTTGTTAGAAATAAATTCAACCCCTTAATAAGCTTTCAAAGCACATTCAGCTTGTATTTGATAATTTATCACTCAGTATGGTCCTGTATTAAAGAATTTAATATGGAACTTTTTGTTTCCCTAGCTTGTGAGCTCTTGGAGATAGAAGTCAACATGCTCATTGTCTTTAGAACATAAGAACAAACCTAAGTTTGTGTACCAGGCGATGTGTGAGGCCAGCGGTTCTCAGATTTTAGCAAGCATCAGAAATAGTTGGAATGCTTATTAAATTTATTGCTGCCCCCCTCTTCTGAATGAGTCTGGGGTGAGGTGAAGAATTTCCATTTCAAGCAAGTTCCCAAATGATGCCACTCTTCTGCAGGGTTCCTGTTTGAGTATTTGCTACTATTCCAGTAAGTAGGTTTTATTATTCTCATTTTCACAGAAGTCACACAGCTAGTAAGTGGGAGCGACAAGACTGGAACCTCATCCCTTGATGCCTAGCACTGTGGTCTTTCCTTTACACACCTTCTCTTTATCTTGGAATTCCTTGTGTACATCATAAGCTTTACGAAATGCATGCAGGAGGGGCACCTGACTGGCTCAGTTGGTGGAGCATATGACTCTTGATCTCAGGGCTGTGAATTTGAGCCCCAGGTTGGGTGTAGAGATTACTTAAAAATAAAATCTTAAAAAAAAAAAAAGAAAGAAATTCATGCAGGAGATAATTGCTATTAGAATGGAACTAAGCCATCCAGGTTCAGTTATCATCGTGAGCAAATTAACTTAACCTTTTCCCCTGTGTGTCAGTTTTCTCATCTGTAAATTGGGAATTAGCAATATTTACCTGTAGTACACATTACAGTTGGCTCTCCCAAATTTGATCTATTCTTTTTTCACTATGTAGTAGTCATTGTGGTGCAGAGAATTGCCCCAGCACCAGGAGTAAATTATAATTCATCCAAATCAGTCAAGATAATCATAATCCTCTGGATCACGAGATGAGTTAATCATACCATAGTATTTCTCCTCCCCCCACCTCTACCCCCAATAGCTACTATTGAAGAGAGAAGCATCAGACTAAAGGTGGATCCTAAGGAGAAGGCAGTTGTTTCACTTTTTTCAGTGTTGGTGGAGTAGTCTCTCACCTTTGCTAGATCTCTGTAAAGAAGCAGGTTTTCTACTGATGACCATGCTACAAAGGAAAACTGGTGTTAGGAGGAAACCAGCGCTGGATATAAGGACAGCAGTAGGACCTAGAAACCTGGTGACAGTATGAGGCCCCTAGATTCATCAGCCAATCCTGAAGCTGCTCTCTCCCTAGACTACCAGTTAGGTGAGCCAACAAGTGCCTGTATCGTTTTAGTCAGTTAGAGATTTTTTTTCCCCTGTAACTTACAGTCAAACACCCTAGCTGATAACCTATCTCAAAGGATTCCTGTGAGAATTAAATGACATAATGCATAAAAAGGGGTTGGCATTAATTAGGATGTAACAAGTATGAATTACATATCCTTATCAGGGAAGTTACTAGATCTAAGTAAAAAAAAAAAAATATATATATATATATATATATGTATATATATATTATTGGTCTCCTTTCAAATTCTCCTTCTTTATCAAAAGACAAGTGACCTTAAATGCCATTGTCAGCTCCTGACCAAAAGCTCCCTTGGAGGTGTTTTCTCCAGCAGGATTAGAGAAGCCAAAATAACCAGGTGAATATCTCTGACCATGATAGAGAAGTTAGCTATAACAGGGAAAGATTATTCTGAGACTTATAGAATCACAGAACAACAGATTATGGTTAATTTTAGTAAAGAGATTCATGAAATAAGGAGATAGGTGTTGATATCTCTAGTCATAGCTGAAAAAAACGGGCTCAGATGGAGTGAACTGCAGCCAGTCGCATACAGAGATGGATTGCATCCAAACCTGGTGCTCATATTACTTGTAGTGGACGTTTGTTCTCTTGGCAGTCCAGCATGCCACCCTTTTAGGGCACTGTCCCTGTACTACATCAAACATGTGATTCCTTTAAGGCTGTCAAATAACATGTAGTTTCTGTTATTACTAGGCTAACACAAAATTATTGCTTTTTCAGTAATTACATTTATAGTCATTGACCCATCCCTAAGCATATTAAAATTCACATTTTTAAAAAAGATTTTATTCATTTATTTGAGAGAGAGAGAGCAGCAGAGGGAGAGGGAGAAGCATGTTCCCCACTGAGCAGGGAGCCCGATGCAGGGCTCGATGCCAGGACCCCCCAGGATCATGACCTGAGCTGAAGGCAGACACCCAACCGACTGATCCACTCAGGCGCCCCTAAAATTCAAATTTTAAAAGGAAACAAGGTGGGTGCCTGGGTGGCTCAGCCGGTTAAGCGGCTGCCTTCAGCTCGGGTCATGATCCCAGGGTCCTGGGATAGAGTCCCGCGTCAGGCTCCCTGCTCAGCGGGGAGCCCGCTTCTCCCTCTACACTTCTCCTCTGCTCGTGATCTCTCTCTCACTCTCCCTCTCTCTCTCTCAAATAAATAAAATCTTTAAAAATAAAAAAAGAAACAAGGAAGGATAAGTAGAGGACACATAATCTTTGGTCAGTAGATGATTCTGTTATATCTCTTAGGATCTGGAATACCCTGACCAGTGTATTAGATTAAAAAAAAAATTCATAAGAATTTGAGAATACATTTTAGAGGGGAAGAAGCTTGCAAGTCACCAGAACGTGCCCTAGACTGTGTGTGTGTGTGTGTGTGTGTGTGTGTGTCTTGGTAGTGATTTTGTGTCATTGCCTCATTCTTGGCACTCTGTCAGTACTCAAGAAAACCAGATTGAAAATTTGGAATCTGTGCTTCAGTGGATTGAAACTGACCTCTAGTCACTAAGGAAAAATCAAAACAAAACACACAAGAATTTAGAGAGGATATTTTTCTGCCAACAAATAATTTTTCCTTGATGTTATTTCTTAGTTGGGCCAATATTCCAATGGAAAAAATAGATAGATTGGTCAAGAGTTCAGTATAATTTTTTGTGACATTTGACCTTAAGTGACATAATAAAAAAATTAATGACAAAATTGTATTCTTTCATATGGATGCATGTGTGACTATTGGTTTCACACAGAATATTTAAGAGGAAAAAGCAGAAAGGATAATCTAATGGCATTTTGTTTTATTTGGAATGTTAATTCTTAAGCTAATTTATTTATTCAATAAATATCTTTGCCAGGTACTGTTACAACCACTTGGGATGTATCAATGAACAGACCAAAAATGGGAACAAAACTGTATGTAGAGATGAGGGTTTAAGATATTGCTGGGCTTGAGACTTGTGAGCTAATTTATTTGTTTGCTGTAATTGTTATCATGATTCTTGGCTAAAGAGCTTTTTATAATGCCTTCATTTTGAAAACTTCAGTTAGGGTCTAACTTCCCATTCTTTGTTGAGCCAAATGATATGATAGGGGAAGGAACTAGGGAAGCTCAGAGGAGGTTAAACAGGGAGCAGACTCTGGGATAATATGGAGGAAACAGAGAAGAAAAGTGTCATCTGAGTAAAGAAGAAGCTATTGTGAAGGGAGATGTTGGGTTTCTAAATGAAGGGAAACAATGAGGGAAACTGGTCAAGGTTTGAACAACATATTGCTTATCTTTGTGGTGTGGGGTACCGTACAAACACCTCAGCAGTACTTAAGGAAACTTCAATAAAACTCCATCTCTCTTCAGTATTTCTGTTGGGGATTTTTCCCTTCTTTGTGTCTCTTCCTATTTCTCTTCCTCTTTTTCTCTTTTTTTTTTTTTGCTTCTTCCTCTTGTAAGTCAAATGTCTGGAGAATAGCCTTAGGTCAGGGGCAAAAATACCTAGGGTCAAATTAAAGAATGGAGGCCATTAGACTGAGGTGGTTCTAATGCCTTAGCAGCCTACATAAGCAAACCCAAACCTAAGCCTCTAATTCCTCAAGGTTAAAAATTGAAACAAAGGACAACCAGTCACAGTCAGTTAGGCTTTCCCCAAACAAGGCAAGCACTTAAGCTATTGACAATCAAATAGTTCTCTTGCTTTGCTTCCGCCTCGCCTCGTTTCTAGAAGTCTTTCTCTTAGCTCCTGTTGGTGGAGCACTCCTGACCACTTCTGGTCTGGCGCTGCCCAATTTGGTGCAATTGTTGCTCAAATAAACTCTTAGAATTTGTAATATGCCTCTGTTTATCTTATAACACTAGTTATATTTGGATTAGATATGATTTTTTAAAACATTCTACATTATATAACTTATATTTGGGGAAAAATATTGCTCTCATAAATTAGACATAAGTAAGTAATCTAGACAATCTCTTCCTTTTTTTTTTTTAAAGATTTTATTTATTTATTTGACAGAGAGACACACAGCAAGAGGGGGAACACAAGCAGGGGGAGTGGGAGAAGGAGAAGCAGGCTTCCTGCGGAGCAGGGAGCCCGATGCGGGGCTCGATCCCAGGACCCTGGGATCATGACCCGAGCCGAAGGCAGACGCTTAACAACTGAGCCACCCAGGCACCCCTAGACAATCTCTTCTTGACAGGGAGTTTCAACTGGAGGTCAATATAAAATGTTTAAGATTGTCAAAAGGACAGCATGGGTTTAGAGAGGCTGTGACACCGAACTGTAGAATTCCATTATTAAACATAAAGCCACTGGTCAGATCCTGGAAACACTGCTGGCCTTACGGGATATAACCTAAGTAACAGTAGTCTAAATAGTAATGGTAATGAGATTAAGAGAAGTTAGCACTGAAAGCTTCTATTTACAAGGAGCCTCCTGTGTGCCAAGGACCATTCTAGACATTGTCTCACCGAATTCTGTTTTGTTTTTTTTTTTTCTTTTAAGTAGGCTCCACGTCCATCGTGGAGTCCAACGTGGGGCTAGAACTCACAACCCTGAGATCAACACCTGAGCTGTCATCAAGACCCAGGTCCCCCTTGTCTGATTGAATTCTCACTACTGTTCTATGAGGTGGGTAAATTACTTGCTCAGTGTTACACAGATTTGTAGCCATTCTTTGACATATCTTTTGGGCAGAGACCACCAGGGAAATAAAACATTACCTATCATTAAGGATTCTGGCCTATTCTGTAGTGGACAATAAAGAGGCTTTTACTCTCAGAGAGGGTGTTCAAGACTTCTAATGTTGACCTGGCATCAGAATGGGCCTCCTTGTTTCTTTAACTTCCCTGATGAAGAGCTCATATGTATCCTGAAGCACTAGAGACTCCAGCTGCACCTAGGGCCACAAACCTTTAGTCCATTTGGAATTGACACTACGAAAGAAAACAAATAGCTGGATATTTTCGTCTTCCCTTGCAAATGCAGTAAGAAATGATTGTGAGGTGACTTCTTTTCCTCCCTCCCTTTCCTATCTCCTCCCTTCTTTCCTTTCTTCTTTGTCTTTTTGTCTTTTGTTCTTTCTTTCACGTATCTACTCAAACAAGTATTGAGGGGTTCCTTTCTGCAAGGCCCAATGCTAGAGGCTGGGGCTGCATGATTGTGGTATAATAAGAAATATATATTTTGGTCTTCCTCCATGGTTCCTGGCACAGAAGACCCTTGGAGTTCCTTGAGTAATACCGGGGTCAGGAGCATCTTTTGTTATTCATAACAAGCCCCTTTCAACCATACTTGGGTTTATGGTAATGAGATGACTCTTGGAAGGCGAAAGTTGGTTGCCAGAGGACCCAATCAGGTGATTTCAGTCCCACCCTTTGACCTTCAGGGAGGAGAGGGGCTGGAGAATGACTTAATCACCAATGGCCAAGGATTTAATCAATCATGTCAATCGAATCTCCATAAAACCCCTAAGTTATGGAGTTCTAAGAGCTTCCACATCAGTGAACACATCCAGGTGCTGGGAGGGTGGCACATCCAGGGATGGGGATGGGAGCTGCACACCCCCCTCCACCCACACCTTACCTTAAGTATCTCTTCCCTCTGGCTGTTCCTGAGTTCTAGCCTTTATAATAAACCGATAAATGTCAATGAAGTATTTTTCTGAATTCTTTGAGCCCTTCTGGCTAATTATCAAACCCAAAGAAGAGATGGTGGAAAAGCTCAATTTATATCCCATTGATCAGAAGTGCAGATGACAACCTGGGTCTTAGGATCGACGTCTGAAGTGCAATCTTGTGGGACTGAGCCCTTAAACTGAGGGCATGTGCTAATTCTGGCCAATTACTGTCAGAATTTAGTTAAATTACAGGATAGTGGCTGCTGAGAATTGGAGGATTCCTTGGTGTGGAGAAACCCAAGCATCTGGTGTCAGAAATATCCTGTGGGCAAAGAGGAAACAAGTTTTCCTTTAGTTGATATTCCTTTTAATTGTGTGCAAACACAATCTTTTCCTCTGGAGAGGAGAACCTAATTTCCATTCAGTGTGGATCATAAGCATCATGAGGTCAGGAGCTGTATGTCTCATTTGCCACTGTATCCTCTAGCCCCACCTTGCACAGGACGTGGCAGTAAGCATGTGCTCAAAAAATACGTTGCATGAATGAATAAAAGGCTAGTATTGCTTCACTAATGAAAGGGTACACCTGAAACCTCATCTGGTTAATGCCACCCTACAGACTGCCCAAACTGCCCTCAGGAAAAACAGAAGCAGCGTGAATTCCGATCCTGAGAATGGTTATCTGGGATATATACCTTATGAAAAAGTACGGATGTTCAGGTTGAGTAATGAGACACTCCGTTTGCAAATAACACATGTTCGTTTTCATGTTGCTTAAGACTCTTTGCTAGGAAACGAAACACTTGTAATTTAATATGTAATGTTCTCAGAGTACGAGGCCAAACCACCTCAAGTTGTGAACGCTTTGGCTCTGAAGAGCCAGTCGGGGTCAGGGCAGGGCAGGACTTGGCCTAATGCCCCTCCAGAATAAACCAAACAGCTACAGGAAGTGGTTTCCATGATTCAGTAGGTGGCACACTTCCTTTTGAGTCAGAACTGAATCATGGTCGTGAGAGACAAAAAAGACCTATTTCTTTATCCCATACTTTTTCCCTATTCCCAATAGTAAATTTATCACAGTCTGTCATATGACATATCCTGTTTAGTTTAACGTGTTTCACCAGAAAAGAAAAAAAATGCAAATCAACTACGAGGAGGCAAGAAGAGACTGGGAAACACAGCAGATGGAAATGAATTCAAGCATCAGTCTTTCACCAGAGGACCATATTCTCCGAGGAGATTGAAAGAAAAGCCACAATCTGATTTCACTGGGGTCATCAAGGCCCCTGGTTCTCTCAACTGGAATCTGACCCATTTCCAGTGGAAGCAATTAGATCACACTTACATAAACTGTGTTGCTTTAAATGGCTCTGCTCTGCTCTTCCCTCACTGACCCTGGCTTCCTCCCTGGCCTGTCTGCTGAAAGGCCCCCCTGGTGCTGTCCCAAGCATGGCCCTCGTTCAGCTGTGGGTGAAATGATCCTGTTCTGAATGTACTGAATGCTGCTGGCAATGCTGTAAATTGTTTGGAGGCTTAAGGAAAAACCCCCTGGATATCAACAAGTCATAAAAACAGAAATATTTTCTCAGTGTGTCTTTAATTTTTCAATATTTATAGTTTTGGGAATGTAAACATTTTTATCCATACTTTCAAACGATAAACTTGGTTTTATTATATCTTTGTTGCTTCCTTCTACCCCAGTTCCTTCTGATTGGCTGCGTGTCTCAAGACAAAGATTCAGAAACTCATGCTGTATGTCCTGTATTTATATCACTCTTGGAAGGCTGATAATCAGACTGAAATCAAAAATCTTACTGCCATGGGGGCTCCTGGGTGGCACCGTTGGTTAAGCAACCCACTTGGTTCCGACTCAGGTCATGATCTCAGGTTCGTGAGATCAAGCCCTGCATTGGGCTCTGCACTCTGCATTCTGTGCAGAGTCTGTTTGGGATTCTCTCTATCTCCTGCTTCCTCTACTCAGCTCGTGTGCACCCACACGCTCTCTGTCTCTCTAAAATAAATAAATAAAATAAAATCTTTAAAAAAAAGAAAGGAAACGTTATTGCCATGTTAGTATTCTGCAGCTGCTTCTGTGAACTATTCCAGTGGTTTGAAGAATACAGCATTCAAAATCACATAGATCTATGTTCAGATGCAAACTCAACAAAAAATTGCACAGCTCTGTGACCTTAGGTAAGTCTCTTAACCTCTCCGAGCCATAATTTCCTTCGTCTATAAAATGGGACTCTAGCATAAGAACAATATTACTGTGAGAACTAAATAAAGCTTTTACCTAGTGCCGAGAACAGCTCCTAGCTCATATTTGGCGTTTAAAATAAGCTAGTGCCCTTTCTCTTTATTTACAATACCTTTCCACTGGGAGGTCAGAAGAGCGTTTGGACAGAACAGCTGCATGCGCACGCTGAATCTTACCCTTCCCCAAAGACGTCAGTCCCATCCAGCTCCTTCAGCACTTTCATCAACAGCACCTGCAGCGTATATCATATCAAATGGTATCCTTAATGGAACAGTAGAGTAGCCCAGCCAGGAAGCAGGCTTTAAAGCCAAAGCCAGCTCTTCTGGACAGGACAGTTGTGGCTGATAGATGACAGCCAAATGTGAAGGGAGTCCTCATCTGACACATGGAAGAGAGCACCTAGAGAATGGGCAGGAAAAAGAACCATGGGCAGCACTCACAGCCAGACAGAGCAGCTGCCGGGCCCGGGTCAAACAGGCTGGTAGACAGGTGG